TCAGTTTTGGATCTATGAGCATATGAACTAGACCTAGTACTAACTCAAATGAATCTTATGATGGCTATGGTTATGTCATGTCTGATTATAGTTGAACTAGTTATGGAGCTCAAGATGATGAAATAGATTATGGACCTACTAGTTGGGTTAATCCTAACCATCCCATATATGGGAGGATAGTAGGGAGCTCAAGAAAGACTCATGTGCACCATGTTCAAACATGGTTTACAAACTGCTCGGGTTACATGACCTTGTATGACTATTGTATGAATCTAGATGGTTGTTCCTCATTGTTTGAACCTCATAGGAGCTCTTCATTTATATAGATGGACACTTAATTAAATTGTAATCCAATGTTTAAACAAACTATGGATTTATGCATGGTTTATTCATTCTAATCAATAATTTATTTTCAAACTTTTCATTAACGCGCATTACATATCACTTATATTTCATCATATGTATATCTTATTATTAGTAAATTTTGAGTTTTATTTGTTCAATGCATTCATTGATGATGTACATAACATCTATGAAAGTTTTACACCAAACTTATGTGTTTCAATGCATATATCTGTCATTTTGTCCCGATCGCTAAAACGATAACGATATATCCCCCGAAATATCCGTAAATTGGAGACCCGATATTATCTGCACAGCCGATATTTTAAGAGTGCTGCTAAACGAACCCTAAAATTAACTGAGTACACCCTATGATCTAAGTACACCCTAATATTTTAATTAAAATGTAAAATTAACTAAGTACACCCTATAAAATTACCACAAATACCCCTGGTACACCCTAATACTTGTAGCATTATTTTATAGTTGATTTTCAGCTTGATTTTTTTAATAGTGTTTATAAATCTTTGACTTTTCATATGGATTTATGCTTCTACTAAAACTGTTGACACTTTTTTGCAATTACAAGTTCTTGCAATCACCACCTCTTTCGTTAAAAACACAATAGGACAAATGTGAAACTAAATACAAATTATCTCATAACATTTTTTGTGTTGGAAGAAGCCAAATGAGCAAAAAGCCATCATAATTACCCATGCACAAAGCTGAGACAAACGCATGGAGATTTATCCATGGCTCCACACAAAAAAAAAGACATGCTTTTGGTTGTTCCGAGAGGGTCTAGGTAAGTCAGATTGATTTTCATATTCATAAAGAAACTTTGACTTTGACTTTGATTCGGTTTCTTTTCTTATTACTGATTGGGTAATTAGGATGATAAAAGATTGTTGGAGCATAAACACAAAGAACAGAAAGAAAGAAACAACAAAGACGATTGCAAAAGGTTGGCAACCAAGTAATCCAAGTTGCCAAGAAATAGTTCTGAGAAGAAAGAAGGAAGGCTTCATCTCCTCAAAGCCATTCTGACTCGCGGATCACAAAGATGGGAATCAAGTAATCTCTTGATTAGGGTTGAATATTGTTAATTAGGTGTACTTATTAAAATTATATTTGTTTCATAATTCCATGTATCCTTTTTGGTCATTTTATATTAGGGTAAATCAGTAATTCAATATATATTTTTGTAGTAGGGTGTACTCAGTTAATTTTAGGGTTCGTTTAGCAGCACTCTATTTTAATCTTTGCCATCCAATATACAGGGGACTTGTGGAAATATTCTCCAATACATACATGTGAATGTAAGAAATAAATTAATATATAAATAACCGGGACATAGTTATTGGCATATTTGCACAGCACATCCCAAACAATGGACATTTCAACAACTCGATAGTCAAGGAGCCCACAAGCAGTTCCACACTTTTCTTAATACATATTTATATTAATGATAACATAAAACCTAAACATTATTTCAAATTCTTATTACCAAATAATGGCGTAAGATATTATAATTTGTTTTTTTTTTAATAAAGGAGGTCCAATTCGGATACACCAACACTATATTAGCCCGAATATGGAATAGCAACAACTTTAAGAGGATATACTCTGCGAACGCTTGTTCCACTAGATTCAGTCATGTCTAAGTCCTCCCCTCTTGCGCCATCGGGCAGAACCCAGTCGAACTTGTGCTCTAAATTTGCCAAAGCAATCTCTTGGATAGCCATGGCAAACTGAATTCCTGCGCAACCTCTTCTGGCAACCCCAAATGGAATGTAGTGGAAGTAATTTCCTATATAATCTATGGCACTGTGCAAGAACCTTTCTAGCTCGAACTCCTCTGGCTTGTTGTATGACTTGGGATCTCTTCCAATTTGCCATGCATTCACTATAACTTGTGTGTTGGCTTTAATGTCGTAGCCATTTATTTGTGCATCTTGGGTCGATAGCCTGGGAAATAGCAATGGAATTGAAGGATGTAGGCGAAGAGTCTCCTTGATCACTGCCTTCAAGTAGTGCATTCCAACCAAATCATCCTCTCTAATTATGTCTGTTTTCTTGCCCACTATCCCCCTCACCTCATTCTGCAATTTTTCCATGACTCTTGGATGCCTTAAAAGCTCGGACATTGTCCACTCTTGGAGTGTAAATGAGGTATCAGTGCCACCGACAAAAATGTCCTACAAGAATTTTAACGGAAAAAATCGATTAAAAAATTAATGGAAAATTAGATAATAAACCCAAAAGAATTGGGGTTCAATAGGAATAACCCCACATGTTATCTATCTATATATCTATATATATAAAGGTAGAAGGCGTTAAAAATGAAATATTCAAAATCCCCGAAAATGCTCATGCTTCAAAGAAATATGTCAAATTACTAAAACACCTATGTCATGTCA